TTTTATAAATAAAAGCTCTATTTAAGTCCGAGTGCGTGTCTACCCCCTTTAAACAGGTATTTGGTAAGTTAATTAAGAATTTTACTGAACGTTCTCAGTGGGCTTTAAATGTTGCTTCTCTTTTTGTCGCTTGTGTCATTGCCCTTCCACTCCAGACACATAAAACCGAAGAAAAGTTTGGAGATCTCCGACAGATGAGGCAGAATCCAACCAACAAACCTGCAGCGTAAAACTCAGCGGGCTAGAGTTTGCTTTAACCTTATCCTGGGGGGGGGAAGGACCGGGAAGGGAATTGCTCATCCCACAGCCAGCTGCACCATCGCCAGCCAGCCAGGCATCCTGGCGTCCGCCAGCAAGTTGCCCAGGCCTTGTGGCACCGCTGCCCGCTGGTGCCAAGGCAGCCTCCCACCCACGCACCAGGGACTCCGGGATCGAAAGGCAGCTCAGACTGAAAGAAAAACAAAAGACAGCTACGAAAATGTGCTTTAGCTGTCTGGCTCAGCACGGCGTACCTGAAGAAGCTGCTGCAGCTGGCCCCAGACAGATTCATTTACTGAATGTACACATAATCCAATATACAAAAGCCTGTCTGGTGGGGAGACTCAGACTCCACAGGGATACTCTAAAAGCAGGGACTTCTCCATTTCTGTTCCGCGCACTTCATCTGAACACCAAGAACCTGCATTACTGTCAGGATTTTTTTCTTAGCAGCCACATTTTATCCCAAAACAAGCCTTCAGACAATTCAGCCCCCCCCCCCCCCCCCCCCCCCCCCCACGCCAGCCCCCCCCCCCCCCCCCCCCCTCCATCCCTGGCGGCATGCAGTTGAGCAGAAAATTGTATATATTGGTGTCTGGAGCGATCAGTAACTGCTATTTTTTTCTGGCTTCTTCCTTCTCTTGACCCCTAGCTGAAGCTCTTAAGACCCGAAATCACACACTTCCTGCTAAAGTCTGGGGTAGCGTGATGGGTTTCAAAGATCAGGTTCCATGTACAGCAAAATATGCAAACACACATATGTAATTTAAACAAACTCCAACTACCGCGTTCAGAACACAACCGGAGGAAAAAAGCTGCCATCTCAAACACTGCTCGTCTACATTAACACACACGTGGTGAGAATTAAGAACACGATTAGATTGCTAAATGACTCAAAGGAAAAGCAGCTGGTAACAAATTGGGTACATCGACGGATGTTCCTGAAATCAGAGAAAATTCCTTTTCTCTTTCTCCCCCCCCCACCCCCTCTAAAACCAAAGGCATCACTTACCCTGGGGGCTTTCCTCTTGTATTTGTTGTTATAGTCAAATTTTTCTTTCATTTCATCTAAGAGCTGGCCCAGTCTAGCTTTCTCCTCTTTCCCAGTGTAATCCTGGCTGAGGAGGATATAGGATCTCCAGTTTGCAGAGTCAAAGCCCCAGTGGCAAGTCCTGTTTTCCAGAGATTTGTGAGAGTGGACCACAAATTTGTGAGGTGGGTACATAAGCCTGCAGTCCAAGCACTGGATGCAGGCTGCGCTGGGGTTACTGTAAAGCTCTGGCACCAAGAGTCCCTTACACTTCCCAAAGCACTCATGATACACCTTGAAGCTCTTCTCTGTAAGCTCCAGCTCAATTGTGCTAGAGAATTCCTTCTTGCAGTGGGGAGGATAGGTGCCACCATAAAGCAAGGCGTTACAAAGCCTCTCTGCATCAGTTTTAGTGATGAGCCCGCAGGAAGGAGCGGAGAAGGGCAGGATGCCCATGACTTTGAGGATTTCCAGCTGGTCAGCAGTGCATCTGGAGCAGTAAATATGTAGCTCGTCACACACCGAGTTAATCTGCTGCAGGGAGAAGTCCCTGAGCACCGAGTTCAGGATCTGGGGCAAGCAAAGCCGCTTTTCTCCACCCACCACGAAGCAGGAGATGGTTTCCCCTTCCAGGATGGTCTCGCACCTCTCCGTGGATCTGTCCGAGGGCATGAAGAAGGGACCAGGCATTACCGGAGGAGGCTGGATGGGGGGCAGATGCAGTACAGGTTCCGCTGGGTCTTTGCCATTGTCTTTCTTGTACATCTCCTGTGCCCATCGTGCTGAGAAGGCGGCAGGGCCACCCAGGGAGCTCATAGAGCTCAGATGAAACTGTTCCAAGGTCTTCTGCAGTCCTGGATGAGGCTGGAAGCTGCTTCTACTTACAGTCTCCATTTTTTAGTTTCTATTCCCAAAACAAACAAACAAAAAATCCCCAGTTATCTTCCACCCTGGTACAAATCCACTTAAGGGATTTTTTTTTTTTAAGAAAAAAAATTACGAGCAAAATACAACAACCCACCCTTGTTCCTTTCTCCTTCCCACTCGGGTTTAACAATCCACTAACGGATAGGAAATAAATCCTTTTGTACGCGTGCCTCTCTCTTCTTTCTTTCCTCTTGGTCGGTTACAATTTCAAACCCCCCAAGTCTCCAAGCCGCCCCGATGGAGCACAGAGTCACGGCAAAAAGAGGTCCTCATCCGAGCACTCACCCCCTCAGCCAATCCCCCAGGCAAACCGATCCCTCCTCCCACACCTCCACCGCACTCACACACACACGCCACCCACAGCAACACAAAAAGTCTGTGCCACGCTCCGAGCACCGGGGGCTCAAAGACGTTCTGGCGGCTGCTGCTTCTCTGCAGTAATCACCCTTCTGTCCATATCCACCGAAAGGAAGGCGCGGGGGAGGCAAGCAAAGAGCAGGCGGAGGAAGGCGGCTTGGCGTGCGGCAGGGAACAAGGCAGAAGAACAGGAAAAGGCCCAAATCTCTGGCACTTCCAGAGCGGCGCGGGGGCTTCGGGCGGGCGACGAGCAGGCTCCCTTCCCCCGCGGTCCCTCGGCTGGATCTGGGAGCACTCCTCGCCTCTCGGCTCGCCTT